GAACCTTCTTTAATATTTTAAGAATCAAAACAAGGGCCGTGAGGAGGTTCACACTTCACGAAGCCGCGTGCCCATTTTTTATTTATTTATTTTTTCAATAAAAAAGAATGCACCATTTACCGGTGAAATATTGGATCCAAGGAGACCCACGCCCAATTTAGGAATATCCTTCCCACGGGGGGGGGGGGGGGGGGGTAAATAATACATGTTAAACGCACGGAGCCCTCCGATTCGCTTTGCCGCGCCTCTCCTCGGTGACGCCAGTCCACCGTCATCCCGAAGGTCTCCGTTGCGCTCACTGCGCTCTCATTGGTGATAAGGGGAGTTCTGAGAAGCGTCCCATCGGACAGATACCTTTACGCAATTTCCATTGTGGTTTTCTGCACACGACTTTCATTTGCGTGCATTCGAATCGCCGCGTTTCCTTGTTTTATCCACTTTCGAGTATGCGATTTAAAATCGCGTGCGTTGTTTTCTTTTTTTAGCAATTAATAAATGGACATAAAAGTGGTAAAAAATCAAAACCTTCAAATGAGATTGAAAAAAAAAGCCACAAATGACTATGCAAATGTCCTGGTGGGTGTTTAGCATGGAAGAGTTAGAAGAACGGGCTGTAATGAGGTCCATCAAGACCAGCCAAGCGAGTACACCTACCTAATCTTAGGGTAACTTAGTCCGATAGGTGTGCAGAAGACGCTGTAGTGCATTAAGATTCCGTAGACGAGCAAGATTAAAGTCGCTTTACTCGAACTGGCCATGCTGTTAGAAAACGAGAAAAACAGACGTTACGTTAAACAGGTTAGTCACTCGTGTGGAAATAACATGGATGTCTTTGTTGCTTCCACATTCACACGCTGCGCTACTTCTCTTGTCTCAAACTACAACGCTGGATTGGAGGTTTTAATGTGCGGGACACCGGACGCGGCGTCCGTTGTGTCTCAAGCGCACAAAACAATTTCTGCCTGTTTGAATCATTCCGTTTGCTAAAAGTTTAACTGTGGCACTGACATCGAATCCTCTGCATGCGGTGCCAAAGAAGTAATACGAAAGAGAGAAGAAAAAAAATCAAAAACAGCAGATCTCCATGCAGTAGGAAACAAACAAAAAAAAAGAATGATTTCCGTTACTTTCTCTCGCTCTCCATCTCAAAGCATTTATCCAAGTGCTAAAGACACTCCGCAGATAAAGAACGTACCTATAGCAGGAGAGCGGGCAGAGCGCTGTGCTGTGGGATGCGATCCGGGCGCGGCTCTGCTATTGAGTGAGCGGGCGTCTCCGAGTGTGCGTGTGAGGGAGAGAGAGGACAAGTGTGTGTGAGAGAGAGAGAGAGAGAGAGAGTCCGTTGTCTCCTTATGTTCCCCTCAGAACGGCCGAGCGCACCTCCGGACTCCGTTAGCAGGACTCAGCCCGACGACGCGCAGGTGAACGCAAACTGGGTGGCAAAGTGCGCTGTCCGCTCGTCTGCATGTCGCTGCTCTAAACTTTAGTGCTGCGCTGTGATTGCCTTGGATTTTTATCTATGTATCCTAAGCCTTGCCCCCCCCCTCCTCTCTCCACAGCTCCGTCTCCCTCCCTCCCTCCCTCCCCGCTCCTGTATGTCACATTAAGAATGCTATAGACGTCATCAAGTTTACCTCCCGGAATAAAGAAGTACAGTTCCTTCCTCATCGATGCATCCGTCACCCCCCCTCCTCCCCCCCCTTCCCCTCCCCACCACCTCCTCCATCCTAAAAATGGAAGTTTGCTTTCAAACTTTTTCCTTACAAAATAACGATATAAATACATGAACTTTACGGCCAATACAAATCGATTGCTCCCCCTCACCGCCACCGCGACGGGTGACTTCCCACGCGTCATCAATAAGTCCAATTATCATTTGTATGATTGGGAAGTGATCTGCGTGTGGTGGTGTCGTGTGACTGGATGCTTTTGATGGGGAGGAGGGGGGGGGGGGGCGGTGATCAGACTTCCGCTGACCAAGTCCGAGGCCCCTGGGGAGGGATGAGATGGTGTTAATGGCCGTGCGGTGATGGCGCCGAGGCCTTGCGTTATGCGTTGGATTGTTTGAAATAAACGAGGCACGTAATCTGACTGGAAGCTGGTGACGCAGGACGCCGGTTGAGAGCCTTTTCAATCTGCGTAGTTTTAAAAAAACGGTCCATTGTTTTTCCCAACGTGGATCTGAAACGGTCTGTTACAATGCGCTGCATGGTACCCTAAAACAAGACACATGTACGCACTATACACATAACTATATGAATCTCCATTAATAAATTACTCCTTTTTTACATTAAAATATATATATATATATATATATATATATATATATATATATATAGTGTGTGTGTGTGTGTGTGTGTGTGTGTGTGTGTGTGTGTGTGTGTGTGTGTGTGTGTGTGTGTGTGTGTGTAGAGTCTGATTCTTTTCCCACCCGCTGAAACTTTGTTTTGCACATTTTATCTCTGCGGCTTATTTTTGATATATGCCACACAAAGTGTTTGCTCACCAGACAGCAGATGAGTATGAACTTGACATTAACAGTCCGGGCGCGCACGAGTACAAATGATGTCTCTCATCAGAGTGTGAAAGACGCGAGTTATGAGGCTTTTAGTTTGAAGGGTTCTCGCCCTTCGTCGCACGTGGACGAAGTCAACTTTAATTTGAGTTGAATCACCAACTCGGGTTCTCGAGCTCCGTTCAACGATGAATCACACCTTAAAACTCACCGACCAATGGAAGAGTTGGCCTCGGTGGAGGGAATTACGTCGGCGGGTTGTTTACTCTGACGCAATATGACGAGCAGGGGGGGGGGCAGCCATTGCCTTTTTTGGGGGAGGGGGGGGGGTGTTCAGGGCTGGGGGTTCGATTCCCACGAAGAGCTCAATTTAAAGCCTCATATGTTTTTCGACCTGGAGCCGAGTAACTCTCGGCCCGTTTCAGCAGACACGGACGCAGGTCGGTGGCCAAACGGCGCCACCACGAGGACAAGAAGAGACGAGCACGCGCTTCTGTCGTCATCACCGGGGAGACGGGAGAGGAGGCCGTTCTCTCTTCCCTCGTGAGGTTAAACAATATCAACCAAAATCCGTCTTCTCGGAGGGGGAAATGGAGGCTTCTTACACACTATCCGTACAGATTATTGGTGACATTGATTGACTAAATATTTATTAAAACAATCTTTTGACTGTATAAAATCCATCAAATCAATCGGGTTTTTTTATCTTGCCGATCACGGACACCTCTGTCTAAAACGGCTTTTCAGTTTCTCTTAGAATTTGATGATATTTGTCCAGGAAGTGCAGTAACTGTGTAGCCCTAACAACTCAGGGGCGAAGGGCTTAGTCATCTCAAATCCACAAAGGTGTGTTGAAAATGAATGCCACAATGTGTATTGTATTTCTATTTGCATTTCTTTCTTGGGGCATGTTAAAACGTCCTCACTCCTTGGAGGGGATTCAACCCTTAAATGTGACACATCAAGGCTACAGCTCCACTTCCTAAATAGACTAATCATGTACCAACAATTACACACAATGTTCCTTGGGGCACACACAATGTTTTATTTGAGCATGGGTATTTGATTTTATAGACGCATGAATCTGCCAGGAGATATTCTGACCTGAAACCTGAGCAGGAATACAGTCAAAAACTGAGAGTGTTAGGGCTTTGTGTGTGTGTGTTAGTACATCTTGTTACCCGCAGGGGCCGCTTTGGAGACATCTCCCACAGGGACCCATTCTAGCGCCGCCTGCACGGTCAGTAGGGGTCAGCAAATCACTTCAAACTACACCTTCAACAAATCTCATACTGAGGTTTAAAGTATTGAAGGTTTAAAATGCATTTCGCAGAACACCGTCACTTCCCGAAAACAGCGTTATCCCAGCATCTTACTTTTATGATCATATAACTGTATGACATTTGCCAAGGCTCACTCTATGTCCTTTTGGAAATGTCACGTGGCCTAGCCTATAATAAAATTGAATACAACTATTAATAAGTAACTAGTCCCATTCATCATTGCATACAGAGGGCGCCGGATGCCAGCGAATACAGTTCAAAAGTCAAACGGCACGATATAACATCGTTATTTATGTCTAACTTTATTTAACCTTAACCTTGATTAATTCAGCTGAGCTAAAATAAAAAAATAGAACAGTTTTAAATATTTGGTAATAATCCAGATGGTGGATTTTCTCCTCAATCTGAGCCGGGGATGTCGGCCATATTGGTCACAAGGGAAAACCATTCCGTGGGAGAGGATGTGACGTTCACTGTCATCGGAAATGATATAACCTACCGCTATCTGAATGAAACTAGAGGGGGGGAAAGTTACCGGTGAATAGTTGTTGCCTTGAATTGTTTTTGGCAAATAGTTTCACTCTCAAAACATAAACTACAACGAGTGGGGCCGATGGTCGCTGTCCACTATGTGTTTTGTTACAAAGTAAACATAGTACTACAATAGGCAATGCCTGAAATTACATATTCACTGATATGGAAACTACAGATTTTAAAGACATTTAAAAAAAACTCATAACCTTCTTTTATATATTTCATTGAGATCATCTACTCTTTTACTCTGGTGAATTTCTTTGTATTTCAGACAGTTGACGCAAAACAAGCAATTGACAATAATTGTAAAAAAACACATTTTAAAAGACATTTTATGAAACAAACTTGTTAATTGATAAATATGTCATTAGCCGAATTGATCATTTAATGTAATGTCTTATTAATAGATTGCTTGTCATGCTTATTAACAGCATGAACATACCATTCATATTATTATTCATTGTTCACTTGACTATATACGTCAAATGGACTTATACTTACTAGTTCAGAAAGCGATCACTTTAAATATACACATTCTCAAACCTTTTTTGAAATATTTGCCTCTTGTGAATCACAACAAATGTGTGAACGTTAAAACCAATATTTAGTGAAGAAAAAAAAAAGAAGAGGATCTGGGAAACCCGGATTTACGAGCCTAATGTGAGACCCTGAATGCATCAGTATTCCTTCTTCGGCCTCGTCGGTTCCTCGGCACTAGCCCGGCTATTGTTGTGTGTCTTTCGGCGCTACCGTGACCCGTCGGCGGTGCGGTGATTTGTGGATATTCTAACCGGTTCGCTCGGCTCTCGCTCGGCCATATTGAGCGTCCTTTCTTCTCCGCTCGGCGGCGCGTCCCTCGCTTTTAACGGAGCACAAAGCCGCCCGTCGGAGGACTTAAGTGGAGAAGTTAATCGGCATGGGACGGACGGAAGACTGAGGTCCTCGGATCGGAAGTGCTTCTCTCGGCCTCTTTCCGCTCCCCGTGTGGATTGTCGACGCGAAACCGAAACGTGGGAGTAAAGACAAAAGATCACCGGACGCATGTAGGCGAAGTGAAACGAGGCAAAAGTCGCGTTAAAAAAAAAGGTAAGAAGCGCTCGACAACAAAAGAGGAGAAGAAGAAGAAGAAGAAGAAGAGGGATAAAAGGTGTTATTTGGTGTCGGGAGCGCGTGAGCAGGGCCGCTTAGTTTCTGTGACACTTGGAGAAAGTTGAAGGAGGGTTTCATCGTTTTCGGTGGTGTTGTTTTAAAAGTCTCCTATACGTCTATAAAGAGTTAAAAAAAAAAAAACTTTCAACCTGGAAGAATTGCGAAGTCGCTGCATTTTTACCGTTTGAGTCATGACATCTATTCATTCATCAGATAATCTCTTTGACTTCTGGAGCTTAATTGAAGAAGAAAAAATCACACACTGCTTTTATCGATTCAACCCCACGAAAACCACCTACTCCTTTTTTCATTCTGCCTCACCCAAATCTCCATCTCTTCTCCCACCATCAGCTGCTGCAGGGTTCAGCTGTTAAAGGCTTTTTTATTCCTTTTTAGTCCGTCAGACTGTCTCTGTTGCAACTAAACCTTCGCACAAATAAACTGACTACATCTGTTCTTGCGTGCTTTTTTTAATCGTGGTGGTGCACGTCCACTTTCCAGATCATCATTTAAAAAAAATTTTTTTTTAAAGCATGTGTGTAAAGAGGCTTTAAATGAGGGGGGGGGGCTGTTTGCTATGGCGTGTCGTCACTGTCCCTCATCGTGGGTGCTTACATACTCCAGTGGCACAGTAATCCCGCTGCACGGTAATCCCTCTGTTAGCACAGACCCAGTTGGCTGGACAGTCCTGTCTCTCTCTCTCACACACACACACACACACACACACACACAGCTATAAAGGAGAGGGCTGTTTGCAGAGGAGTGAGGAGCACTAACAGGTGGTGCTGGACGGGCTTCAAGGACTTGAGTTTAACTTTAAAGACGCTCAAGTGTCCTCATGCGACCGATGTGTCTCCGCGGCATCCTCGCGGTTTGATGATTTTTTTTTTTTTTAAGCTTACTGTCCGTGGCCAGACGGTCGGGATGCCATCGGTCGACGATGTGGGCTCAGAGGGAGGAAAAAGAAGAGCTCTCTTTTATTCCTTGGAGATGGTCCTTTTTATCCTCTCCCTCTCCCGGCGTCACTCTGGCTATTGACGGGCACAGCAGGTGGCCCCCAATGGCATGAATGGACTCGGAAGGAAGTTCCTCTCCTCCACCCCCCCTCCCCATCCCCTCCACTCACAGTGATTGGCAGTGATGGCCGGCTGCCCCGAAGATAAGACCAAGCTGAGCCGGGGGGCAATCGCCTGCCCCCTGGCACCTCCTCGCGCTCTCTCTGTGATTTGCTGCAAATCCTTTTTGATGATCTCAGGCCTTCCCTGCCAGCTATACACGCAGCTCCCCCCTCTCCCGACTGGGTGTGGTCACAGTGAAACCGACCACGCCCCGCCGAACCCAGCTGCGATCTCGACTGTGGTCAGAGGTCAGCCAGAGCCCAAATTAGCCCTGGCGGAACGAGGGTTTTTTACAAAGATGCCGCGACCACGTCGTCATCAGACCGCGAGGTGAACTGGTATCTTTGCAGCGACGGCCGATCTGGGTTCTTTGCTGGACCGGGCCGCCCTCCCCGCGGGGTCGTCCGTCTCAGTCGAACCAGACAATGCAACCCGGAGATAAAATAACGTCTCACAGGTTTCCCGCAAGTATGACAAACTGTCGTGTTTGGGGAATCCGACGCGCCCCTAAACACCACTCGGGGTTCAACTGTTCTGGGATCGAATTTCCTTTTCCAAACATTTTGGCCCCTGAAATGCTTTTCCAAACAAAGAGGCCGGTGCAGCTTCACCTCCGCATAAGAGCTCTGCCGAGAGTTTTCAGCGAGAACTTCCTCATCAATAATTAAGTATCTGTTAAACTAAATTCCTGATCTGTCGTCAATGAATATACGCCTTTTTGTTTATGAGTGTGCGCCGTGTTCCACGTGACCGCAAAGCTTACACAAGGCCGTGGCTCAAAGGTCGAAGGTACACTCTACGGGAGTTGCAAGGTATCTGATTAGTCAAACGGTAGTCAAAGATCTCCCCTTTCACACAAAGCTTTGATGGAAAGCCCCCCCCCCCCCCCCCCCCCCCTCGGGTTCTTTTCAGAACAATCGCAGCGCGAAGAGGACGTGAATGTCAGCTCTTTGCATATTGTCTTCGAGAAACCCAGGCGTGAGACTTTCAGCCGATCGGGGGTCATTTCCGATGAGTGACCACATCCCTTCGGGGAAAGTGGGCTTTAAAAGCCGGATACGCTGCCAGAGAAGCTGGTGATCCAAACATTGGCACCATCTGCCTGCACCGCGAAGCGACTTTCATGCTCAACGCAAACAACATCTGCGCAGAAAGTCTTGTCCACCATTGCGCCGTACTTGTCACTGGACGGTGAAGCACTTGTTAACAACATTACACTGTAGGATTGGGAGGTTTTTTTTCTCCAATTTTGTATCCCTTCACCAGAAAGCGGCACACTCTTTTGGTACCACCTGCATTACTGTATGCTGAAAGGTCTCTGGTCTTATCCCCTCCTGCAGCAGCCGGTGTCTCCTTTTTATTTTTTATTTTTAATCTGACGCGGCATCACCGGCGGTCTGGCTCACAGCCTCGCGTATCTCGTGTCCTTGGAGGAGGTCTGGCTGCAGCGCTTGTTTGAGCACGCACCGCTCGCCTTAAGTGCGTGCTTGGACGGTACGCCCGAGCGTAAAGGCCTTCGCCTTTGGAAGTCTTATGTTTTAATAAATACAAAAAAAAGGCCGCGTGTCTTCCCGTCTTGAGAGGCCTGCGGCTCTTCTGCGGGTTGAATTGCAGCTCTGTGATTGACGGTCGGGCCTTTTGGCTCCACCATCGGTGCCCCTATTAGCATTTGTGCTGCTCAGTGTTAGCATGTGTATGGGACTCAATGGCTCGGGGGGGGTGGTGAGCGCGCTGAGCGCTGTGGGGGAGCACCACAAGGTGCCTTCTTCTTTGTCCATAACAAAAGGTAGACGAGGCGCAGAGAAGAATGAATCCAAAGGACTTCCCAGGAGAAAAGTTGCCCTTTTTGTTGTTCTTCTCGGGGCACAATTGTTCGCGGGTGGTTGCATAAAATGTTTTGTTGTTGTTGTTTTGGTTTAAAGACTCCCAGTGTTTCCCTCTTTAGAATCGTTTGGGCTGGCGGAAACCCCCACAAGTAATGCAAAGAAGACGTGCCAAATGTCCATTCCAGGGTTTGCCCTGCATTTGTTGTGCAGCTTGTGAGTCCGTGAATGAAGCTGTCCGCGGTCAGTGTCACATGTCTGGATTAACTGCACGAAAGTTGAGTGTTCTCTAAACTGCCAAACCCCCGTTGGGCAAGAGAAGCTGTTGTCAGCCAGCTGGTTGAAACGGACCAGGTAGCGAACGGCGCGCTCGCTCTTTTCCTTTTTGTGTGCTCTCGACCACCGAGTGTATCATTTGAAACGGCACCCCGATGATGAAGTCCCCACCCCTGAAGTCTGCCGAAAAAAGCTGTAATGTACCTGAATTTCCAAACTTAGGAATGTTTGTAATATCGTACGCAAATTTTCGATCGCTTTCGGGAGCGAGTCTTTCGGTGTCATAATGGTGTAAAAAGGAACGTGTATGCTACGCTATAATTCCACGGCTGCATTTGGGAACGTTACATCAAAAAACTACCGCTACCTGAGAAAAGGATTCAAAAGACTCATCAAGACCGCCATCATTTGAGTTGACTAGGTCTCTCAACGAATATTCTATATTTGAATAGTAGTTGAAAACTAGTATTTGAACGTGAAAATTAATATTCGAATGTAAAAATAAAAACGGCGGTACTGTACTGACTGTATCGCACAAATAAAATAGACTAGATCGGCTACAACAGCTTCATGCACTGCTTTGATAATTTGCCATTTCATGCCAAGGAAAAGTTTTTACAGCACAGCTCGCTCGGAGTGTTCAATCCCGTGCTGTAAAACTTTCAGTTTCAATTACTGAATGAAGCCTGACATATTCGGGACAAGAATCGGGACGTTAAATTGCTTGCACAAAACTCACAAAAATCAGCACTCTGCATTTGTTCGTTGTTGTCGTTCATAGAGCGAGCCGTGTGTCGTGGTCATCGGCGGGGGCTTTATCAGGATCAGCCGTCAGGAGTGTTTTGTTTCCGGGATTTGGATCCCTGACTACTCTGACCCGCTCACACCTTGTTTCCGTTCAGCCTGACTTCAGGGATCGGACACTAAGTGTTCTAGACGTTTGGAAACGTAGCGGTTGCCGCGTGCCACCGGAAGAGGTCAAAGGTTAGCGGTGGTGTTTATGTGGTCTCCTGCTCTGATGTTTGTGTGGTTTTTGTCAGCGATGAATTAAGACCAGGAGGTTGGAGACACTTGACCTGCACTTGACCTGCACTGGTAAACGTACGCTCACGCGTACGTTTACCAGTTATTAAACCACAGGAACATTCATTCTGCACCCCAAAATGGAAGAATAATAGAGACCATTCTTCATTTGCCGTTGACTTTTCTGTGCAGCGTACATCCGTCTCTCCTTTCAGCTCTTTAAATGTCCCAGTTTCCTTTCATAATAAATCATCTTCATCCATTCCTCTCGCCCGGCTGCCCATTTTGTGCTGCCTCTGCATTTTCTTTCAGCCCGTACGGTTTGTTCATACGGCCGAGTCAATACGCCATCCGTCTCGGGTCCGTAGAGCCATACGTTGACCTTTGACCCTAATGAGGTTTAGCTGCAGCCCTGACCAGTGCAAGCTGCCGCCATTCTTTCAGTAGAGATTCAATGAATGGTTTTGAGAGTAATGTAAAGCAAAAGAATATCTAACACAATATATGTACATGTAATGTGTAAAATGTGTTACTTCATATAGTAAATCATTAATACAATATTGTAAAAATTGTGTTTTCAAACCGTGTGACTGAAATCAAACGCCAACAAAAGACAAAATATTAAAATGCATCAAACATTATCCAGTATGTATTTAAAAACCTAAACTCTGCCTGTGATGAGACTTTACAGTTCACAGAAATACGGAGAGCTTCCGTCCAACAGCTCCCGTTTACTGTAGACGACGAGGCATAAACCAGGTCAACGAGCTGTGAGAGATGTCCTCTGGTTCAGCTTGTTGTCTTTTTGTTCACTGTCCCTCCCCCAGCAGCCCGCGCACACACACACACACACACACACCTCTCCCACTGTTACTGATGGCCATTTGGAGCCCTGACGTGACGTTTTACTAATGCCGGGGTGAGTCATTGACAGCGGATCAGACTTGGAATGGAGTCTCAGTCTGTTCTGCACTCTGAGATTCAAAGAGGCCAAAGGTCACAGAAAAAACAACGAATAAACCGAAGCAGCACTCTTTATGTGACGTGCTTCCACACATGGATGTTATCTGTAACATGACTCATTGGTGGAGTCCTTCGTTTCTTGTGAAGTCTTGTACAGATGTACAGACTCTGACTCTGAACCTCGGGGGTCTTTTCGCCCCCCTCGCAGATCCGTGTCAGTGGCCGTGTGATGGATCGCAGGGGAGAGCCGACACGACCTCGGGCTCTATCGGCAAATAGTTTCTAGCCCCCGCGAGCTTGACGGGCTTTTGTTCGGACTTGTGAGGTCATCCGTTTCGCATGCAGTCTTTTCTGCATGAGCGAGTTTGTGCTGAGACCACCCAAAGCAAAAAGAAAGCCCCTGACCAGCACGTCTACAGTTTAATTTGTAATTATTGTGACTGATCTCATTGGTCTACATGTTGACGTCATTGATCAGGACTAAATAAATCCACCACTATTTATGTCACAGGTTTTATTGCATCCGTCCCCAGCCATCTTTTTATAAAAGCCGCCTTTTTCAGATTCAGATCGTACCTCTATTCTTTCAACGTTTATTGTGTTTTTCTGGCCGTTTTGGGGATTAATTCAAACAGTAAATACAGCTTACGTGTTTCCCTAACTGTCCGTAACCCAGAACTAAAGAACCAAGAATCAAAGATGGCTTCCTCCATCAAAGACTGAGATCCTCAAATTCTAATTCCCCCCTGCAGGCTTGACGATGGGTTGCGTCCGGAGCAAAGAGGACAAGGGCTCGGCGCCCGGCGCTGTGAAGTACCGGCCCGACAACTCCACGCCGAACAACTCCCACCTGGGCCACTACGGGCCCGACCCCACCCTGATGGGTCACTCGCCCGCCATGAAGACGCACAACAACAGCTACAACAGTCACGCCGCCGCCCTCACGCCCTTCGGCGGGGCGTCTTCGATCATGACGCCGTTCGGCGGGGCCTCCACCTCCTTCACCTCCGTGGCGGTGAGCAGTCCCTTCCCTGGGGTCATCACAGGTCAGTTTGGGAAACGCAGTTATCAATTTGAATGAAATGCCCTTAATTAGACAAAAAGGTCGTAATGCACTCGACTAATTTGCCGTCCTCGTAACGTTTTCCTTCTCGCTCTGTTGTCGTAATGTGTGAATCGGTGCGCGACTTCAGAATAACCTCCGCTGAACCTTTTGTTAGGAGCAGCAGATGTTATGTAAATGTAGACATTTGAGAGTGGGTTAGGGGTTAGGGGTTAGGAAAACCCCAAATAGGTCTCTTATATGGGAAGCAGCTCAGCCAAAGAAAAGTCATTCATGCTCACAGTTGTGTTCATCAATTCCTCCTCAAAATGAGTCCTGAAAAAAAGACTACAGACTACAATTAAATATGAGAAAGTAGTCAGTTTGGTTGCCTGATTGGAGGTAATGCTCAAATAGGAAATATAAGTCTTTTTTTTATGTCAAGGTTACATTTCGTTGCATTTTAGGGTGGGATTAGAGAAACGTGTGGGATTAACTCCCCATCGAATGCGCGACTCCAACACTCTTGTTTCTCTCGCTTTCAGGCGGCGTCACATTTTTCGTGGCGCTGTACGACTACGAAGCGAGGACGTCGGACGATCTGTCGTTCAAAAAGGGGGACCGCTTCCAGATTATCAACAACACGTGAGTACATCTGCTGTGCGGGACGGACTCCTGCTGTGTGGGTGTGTGTGTGTGTGTGTGTGTGTGTGTGTGTGTGTGTGTGTGTGTGTTTAATCCCTCATTGTACTCGGGACTGAAAGGGGGCAGAAGTCTCTCTGGGTTAATGTGTTCCTCTAATGGGCCATCTGCTAAAGTCGCCCTGGCTTTTCTCCCGCCACAGAGCATTCCTCTCAGGTTGTTTTTTTTTTTTTAACATTTGGGTTTTGGTGTAAAACACACGGCTGTTCCCTCATTTATTCGAATAAGATGGATGGACATATTAAACCTTTACAGAGTTTGTATTCAAAGACCTCAACAAAGCATCGATAATAAGCCTGAAGGTCAAACTCACTGATTCACTAAATGTTATTTATGGTGTGCCACATCCTGCTGTACATTAAGGCAACATTTGGCCAGAGCTCCAAACGCTCCTCAAGTCCCGTCTTCAGCCACTGAGCACGTTGCGTTTGCATTGATGGAAATCAAGGAGGTGGCAGGAGGACCGACTCCACCTCCTCAGAATCATGCTTCGGCCGTTATGAAGAATACAAGTAAATGTGGCCGACTGCGTGCGTCTGCATCTAAGATAAATGCATGTATCTTATAGAAGGATTACAATGAGCCGTGGGAATTGTCATACGCTATAATCCTTAACAAAGGATCACTTTGAGTGGCCGACGACTACAAAGCGTCTTATCCTAGTTTATTAGAACTGTAGTCGAGTGCTACTGGGAAGCACTTGGGTGATTTCCCGCTATAATTGAGAAGGAAATATTGTACTTTTAAATTGGTTTCATGTCTGCAAGCTGCAGCCACCGGAAACTATATTAACATAAAATGGTTAACTGACTTCTAATCCCCTCCCGCGTGCAGGGAAGGCGACTGGTGGGAGGCTCGCTCCATCAACACCGGGGAGAAGGGCTACATCCCCAGCAACTACGTGGCTCCCGCCGACTCCATACAGGCCGAAGAGTGAGAGCTCGTCACCTTTTTTCTCCCTCCCTCCCCTCCGACGGGGCTCCTTTTCGCTCCCGCTTCCTCCCTCGCGTTCGGCTGCTGTTGATCCTCCGGCTCAGTTAGTTCCCCTCTGATTGAGAGGACGTGATGCGTTCTGGGCATCGTGACAAAACCCGTCATGTTACGACAGGCGGAGAGTCTAAACAAAGGAGCCGCGTATCGCCGAGAGTCGAGGACGTTGGTGTTGTGGTTCATCCGGTGCGACGGGAACGGCACTAGTTTTGCCTGGTTTCTCATCGGCTGACAGACGTTGTACGGTAGATTCGTTAGCCCGTCCTAATGAGCGAGAGGTAGGTGATCTACACAGCTCAGGACTTTTGCTTTTCTCTTGATCTAAAATGAATGAAAAGAAGAGAAGGGAGATTTAGTGTTGTTTATAGCTATGGGTTCATGTTTTATTCATTTATAACTGTAGCTTGTATATGTAATGGAACAAGTTAGTCATGTTGCCTGGAGCAAAGTTGATAACAAGCCATCATTATAGTTGCACGGTAAACATTATTTAGGCTTGAGCACGATTTAAGCTATTTAAGCCTCCGCCAGACTGAAGTTCACCAATGAGAAATTTGTGTGACGAGGACGTTCAATGTTAACCAACTAAACTCCGATCCATTATATTTCTGTTTGTTTTTTTGATATTGAGAATTACCATCTTACCGGCCGGGCTTGTACTGTTCACATAGAACCTCTAGTGCCTTACATATACCTTACCTGCGTCTCCTTATCCGACGGCCTGTGTCTCTTTGTGCAGATGGTACTTTGGTAAAATGGGCCGCAAAGACGCCGAGCGGCTCTTGCTGCTCCCTGGGAACCAGCGGGGGACTTTCTTGGCCAGAGAGAGCGAGACCACCAAAGGTAAGAGGATGTCCTTCCCTTCGGCTGTGTGCCCCTCCCCTTATTTATGCTTGTGGGAGCGTTTACCACTGCTCTATTTGACTTGTGTAGGTTCTAATGAAATAGTGTTTTTACACTGTGGTGTAGACCAGATTTGAGGAGCACGATCTAACTTGCTGTGCGCGGGTCTTTAAGGTGCCTACTCGCTGTCCATCCGGGACTGGGACGAGGTGAAGGGAGACAACGTCAAACACTACAAGATCCGAAAGCTGGACAGCGGCGGTTATTACATCACCACCCGGGCCCAGTTTGATGCCCTGCAGAAGCTGGTGAAACACTACACAGGTATGCAGGAGGCGTTTACACAAACTGAGCTTTTTTCTTTCTAGTCTCAGAGTTTACATCATCGTGTGTGTGCGTGTGTGCGTGTGTGCGTGTGTGCGTGTGTGTGCGTGTGTGTGCGTGTGTGTGTGTGTGTGTGTGTGTGTGTGTGTGTGTGTTTTGCGCGCTACAAGTATTTCAGCCGATGAATTCAGTGCTCGTAGGAAATGCATAATTCATTGGGCATGTGTAGATTCTGCAGCTCTGCTTTCACTGACACGGTCAGCAATCCACACAATGTCTCCCCCCCCCCCCACCCAAAAAAAAAAGCAAAACCGTGACTTAAGCCATAAGAGGCACGAATATAAAATGTCTTAAGCCTGCTGTAATCTCCTGAATATTGACCGGGAGGCAGCTGGGCTTTAAAAAAGAAGCAAAGCAGACTGTGTCAAGAAAACATCTGTGTTTTTTTCTGTGTTGAGCCTCCACTGCACGCGTCCATAAAATTCCTTTTAATAATAATAACTGCAGTGCTTTTCATAACTGACTCTTATTTATTACCCCGAGGGCAGCGTTTTAAGCATATGAAATTATATCTAACAATAACTGAGATTTCACACGCTGGTTTCCCCTGATGTGCACCCAGTCCGCGTGTGCAGAATACCAATGAAACATTCCCGTTTAGCTGCTGCTGTCTGCCGCGTTAAGCCCCCAACATCTCTCAACAAGCGCTTGATCTTTTTGCTTTCTACCGAAATTGAAATAAATTGAGTTCAACATGGTTCATGTCATTACGGTGAAATTACCATAAGTTTTGATCGTTTCTGGAACGACGCGCTTTAGGAAAAACGGGTGTTGGGGGATTATTCTGCGAGGAATGAGTGTGACGGTTACTGTGTGTTTGCTGTATTTTGGTTTGATTTATAATGCGTTTGGTGTCGTTTTGTGGCATTTACAGTTTTAAATGAATGAAAAATGTTTACCCTAAATCTCAACTTCCACTCTAACTGGCCTCAAGGTGACCACGGCCGATGACGTGCGATCAGCTTTAATAGTGACAGAGTCAATAGTGATCGGGTTTTAAACAGCTGATCGCTAACAGGCTGCAGCTGAAAGGTCTTTGTGTGTCTTCCCTCGTCTGTTCCTGTGCAGAGCACTCAGACGGTCTGTGCTACAGGCTGACCAGCGTGTGCCCCACGGTGAAGCCTCAGACTCAGGGACTGGCCAAAGACGCCTGGGAAATCCCGCGGGAGTCACTCCGACTCGAGCTCAAACTCGGCCAGGGCTGCTTCGGAGAAGTCTGGATGGGTAAGAGACGTCCGCACACAGAATATGTCCTGTATGTCTGTGGATGAGTGATGAGGCCACTTAACCCGCTCCGTTCCTGTCAATTCGCTTTTGTAATTCAAGCTATTTTTCTATTTAGATGCATACAAACAGAATTATTGAAAGAAAATGCAGTTGTTGAATCTAAAGAGATTTCTTTGTACTTTCTATTATTTAAAATCTATCCTCTTTTTATTTTTTATCGACCCATTTTTGGTGCCTTGAAAACATTTGGGTGAAATAGATCACAAAATACATTTTGTGTGCATTCATAAATAAAAAAACGGATCTGAATCCAAACGTCATGAATGAGTAAAGAATAGAAACCGTTGATAGACGACGCTTCCACTGGACATTATTCAGAACTAATGCAAAACAAAACTACTAAATGTATACCAACAAAGTTCACTCAGCGACGTAAATACTGTCGGTTCACACGCGCGCGCTCGGTAATCGCAGGTCGCCTCCCACGCGTCAGCGCCTCGGCTCGCATGTGAGGCCGGTGCCTTTCAGCTCGCTTCTTTCATCACGCGCCCTTTCATCAAGCCTGGCCCGCAGCAAGCCTCGACCCGCCGTCCTCCCCCTCTGCGTCTCACGCACACGCGCACAAGCCGCGTGCCGTCGATGCCTTTTTCTACTCTGCTGAAAATCCCTCCCCGGCTGGCGCCTCCGCCTTCGGCGTGGCGTTGTTTCCTGACGCGTTACGTCGGCCGGCGCTGGTCGGCCTCCGCCGCGTGCCGCCCACCTCCGTGGTATCGGCGCTCTTCTGTATCATCTGGTAGCTCGTGCTGTTTGCTCGGCGTGACTCATTCATCGAGGTCGGCCGCGGCTCTCCGCCCTCGGCTCATTGTATGCAAGCAGGGCGTGAGTAAGTGGCTCTCCACCAGGAAGTGCCGCGTTGGGTTCTTTCTCTCCCACGCGGGAGCGCTGGCAGAGATTTCTGGGCGTGATTTTAGTACCGCCCTTCACTCAAAATGGTTCAAATAGCCTCCAGGGTTTTAGTCACTTAATACATTGGATAAAAGCCAAGCCAGGGCCGCTAATTCCGTGTTCCTTCCGACCGCGAGTGATCGTTTTGTCTTCATCGTGGCTTTTGTACAGGCACGTGGAATGGCACCACCAAGGTGGCCATCAAGACCCTGAAGCCGGGCACCATGTCTCCAGAAGCCTTCCTGCAGGAGGCTCAGATCATGAAGAAACTGCGACACGACAAACTGGTGCCTCTCTATGCCGTGGTGTCGGAGGAGCCCATCTACATCGTGACCGAGTTCATGGGCAAAGGTAAGGAGAGGCCATGCGGACGGGGGGGGGGAGTGGTACGAAATGGCTCCATAGCGTTTTGGTGATCAATGGTGTCGTGTTTATTGCAAACGCTGTGGATTCTGCTTGACAGGTAGTTTGCTGGACTTCCTGAAGGAGGGAGATGGCAGATATCTGAAGCTGCCCCAGCTGGTGGACATGGCTGCACAGGTAGGAGCACCTTTCGCCAAGACATCGCAGGCACAGATACTCCGTTTTACACGGGCGCCAGGGAAGGATTTTCATGCGTCCGCAATAAACAAAGAGGGCTCCGTGTTGGCGAATTCCCAGCCGAGTGTGTAGGTGTGCACAAGCCAAATATTAAAACCCCGTGAAAAGCGGTTTCATTTTGCTCTCCATTAGGCTGTCGTCTTTATTTAATATCTCAGCAGACATTTCTGCCCCCCCCTCGTCTTCCACCGCCTAACCGACACTGTAGCACTTAAACACGCCTCATCAGAGGACACTTGAGCGCCCCGGTTCAGTCGCCTACCCTGATCTCCTCTTAATTTTGCCTCCCCGGGCCGCCTCTTCTCCTCACTCAGCAGAGCGGAAGCGCTTGAGAACTCGATCGAGGGCAAGTTGAAAACCCTCCAGACGCCGAGGTGGGGGGTCGGCAGCCGGCGCGAGGGGAAACCGTTAAAGCTGTATCCAGCGGTTGTGGTTGGAAATCCACTTGATCTCTTTTAAATAATATATTATTTCTGCCTGCATCAACATCTGGGTCTCAAACAGCAGTAAGATGAAAACTCCCTCTAATCCCTTTCTTGTTCTTACTGAAAAGTAGAATTTTGTCTTCTCAAAATATTTGTCCTTGGCTTGTCCTAATGCTACCCCCCCCCCCCCCCCCCCCCCCCCCCCCGGCTGTCTTATCTGTTCGCTCCAATCCCGCGTCAGATCGCAGATGGCATGGCCTTCATCGAGAGGATGAACTACATCCACAGGGACCTGAGAGCTGCCAACATCCTGGTGGCGGATAACCTGGTGTGCAAGATCGCCGACTTCGGCCTGGCTCGGCTCATCGAGGACAACGAGTACACCGCCAGACAAGGTGGCTGTTGTTGTTTTTTTACTCCGCACTACTATTTACATCTACAATACTTTATTGACACGACTGTTGATTAATCCAGCAGTGATGACGATGGTTATTAGCAGCAATGATCCATATCTGTGTATTCAGGCCCCCACGTTTAATTTATCAATCAGTGCGTCAACAGAAGATTAGTCAACAGTTTGGATAATTGGGTTCATTTGTTCTGTTCTTGTTTGACAGACATACAAAACATCCCGTTAGCGCCTCAATAACCTTCTGGTTTTATACAGGATGTAGTTTGACCACAACGTGAACACTCAGCGTGGAGTGTAAAGTGAGACTGATGACTCGTGGGGGTCAAACAAACAAATACTGGACTTTGGACCAGGAGACGGTGTGAGACACTGGTGTTTATGTGTGTCTAAGTTTTGTTGATGTTTTTCGTACTTCTGTTTGGTTGATTGTGTTTCACCTACACTTGCATCCGTCAGGACCAACCAATGTTTTTCTTAAATGCGAAGAAAAGAGCCTTAAATGTGCCTTAAGAACTTTTTAAATGGTGTAATTTCAACCTATTTATGTCATATCGTTTTTTTTCTCTTTTTTTATTTTTTATTAGTTGCACTTCAATTAATAATTAAAACAACTTGGGACCCCTTTTGATTTTTCCTTCCACCCTTTCTTTTTTTCATCCCAGGTGCTAAATTTCCCATCAAGTGGACGGCGCCTGAGGCGGCTCTGTACGGCCGCTTCACCATCAAATCGGACGTCTGGTCGTTTGGTATACTGCTGACCGAACTGGTGACCAAGGGCCGAGTACCGTACCCAGGTACCCAGACGTGCGCATTCATTGCCTCCTTTTCAGTCGGGGAAAACGGGAAGAATCACGCAGACGCAAGAGTCCCCTTGCGTGTCCCTTGCACAAAGTTGTGGAGGAAAATACGGGACAAATGTGAAAAATGTGTCAACAGTGGTAATGCACGGGGCAATAAAGCATACGATAAATAAATTAAAGAACAACTTTCCACACAAAGACGTGACTGTCTAGGTCGTCTTCGACAAAAACACGTTACTCCACCTGTTGTTCTGGCGGTGAATTCCTCTGCAACACACGCAAGACTTTTAGAAGCATGAATTGAAACGAGTGCGTCGACACAACGGTGCGTGAAGACGCAGAAGCATGCGCCGGCCTTACGATGAGTCAACACGGATGTCAGCGCATGGGAAAGAACCTCTCTCTCACACACACACACACACACAACCTCGTCTGCCACCTCGTTTCTGCCCCCTCCTGGTTGAGAGCAGCGCTGCAGCGGGTCTGCTGTCGACGGCGTTTGCCTGCCGCTGAGAGCGCCATATGGCAGACCGAACCGCCGTCTCTAGTAGAGGGCCATCTGGATCCCGTGGCCCCTTTTCAGTGTAAACCTTTTGCTCATATCGTTCACCCTGGAGCCCTCCCCCCCCCACCCTCCCCTTCCTAGAAATTGTTCAATGAGTCACCGGACCTCTTGTCCCGCTGTGCTGAAGTCTTTTTGGGGAACTCCATTTCCATTCCCTGTTTTTAAGACGTAAAAGCAGTATGGTGCAGGTATACCAGGAGATCATCATCACCTGTTCTTCCATTTTAGTCTGTGTACATCGATACGACAGGCATGTTATTGGAGCTCTAAATCACACTAACACCTCCGCTTCCAACATGCCACCGGTTCCTGGTCTCAGCAGTTGCTCCGGGTCTTTCCTCTCCAGAGAGTGTGTGTGTGTGATAATCTGATCCCCACTCTCCCACAGAGAGATGCAAGAAGAGGGGGGAGTGTGTGTGTGTGTGTGTGTGTGGGGGGGGGGGTTGTGACCATACCACAGACTCTGTGTCATAACCTCTTTAAGCTGCACTCGAGCCCCCCGCGGAGCCGCTTCAGGGCCGTGTCACAGGGTTCAGTCTGGGGAAGGAGTCCACGACTAGAAGGGAGAGGGCAGAAGATGAAGCGGCGCTGTTTGGGGGGTTTCAAAATGTTATGTGATCTATCGAGGGTGTTAAGCAAAACAATTGACGTTTTACTTCTATTAACTTGTTTCTTTGCTACATCTCATCACCTTTTTTGCTTAACACAGTGGATTTTGGGACCTTCTTGACCTCCTCTCAGCTCTTATTGTTAACCTGCTACAACCGATCTTTCAAAATGAGTTAGTTTCAAAAGGATATTTTGCTTTCAAAAAGACAAAAGAGTTATGAATCCAGGCCTTTATGGGGGTTAAACGACTTCCATTATTGTTTGCCCACTGCGTTGCATAGTAGTTCACTATGTGTGTGAATGGGTGACTCAAATTGCTTTTTGAGTAAAATGCTGTCCAATCGCAGTCCATTTAAGGCACATTTCCCTTTTTTGTTTGTTTTGTTTCTTCCAGGTATGGTGAACCGAGAGGTCCTGGAGCAAGTGGAACGGGGCTACCGCATGCCCGGCCCCCAGGGGTGCCCCGACTCCCTCCACGAGATGATGAGGCTGTGCTGGAAGAAGGAGCCGGACGAAAGGCCGACCTTCGAATACATCCAGTCGTTTTTGGAGGACTACTTCACAGCCACGGAGCCGCTGTACCAGCCGGGAGACAACCTCTAGTCTGGGAGATTCAGGGGGAGGGAGGGGGGCTCTTGCATCGGTGGAGAGAGCTTGGGACAACGGAGAACTTTAACATGGGGGGGGGGGTTTAATGCTACATGCTAGTCCTTAGCCACACTGGTACGTCTGCTAGAGAAGGAAGAAGATGTCCTCTGAAGTAGAGGGACGTCCCCCGGGGACAAATATATTGGGACTGTTCAGATTAATGCTGGTGTGTTAAACGCTGGGAACCCTGATGTCAGAATAACTCCTATGAACTGGCCTGAACACTGTGATGAAAATAAGAGGGATCGTCTTCTGATTTGAAAATCAGTGGCTTCTTACAGAATTTGTTTTTCACTTTTTTTTCCTTTTTTTCTTTTTTTAAACGGTACAACTTTTCCCCTTCTTTCATTTTGTTTCGCACACAGCTCTTCGCTGTTGTAGTCGAGATGTTTTGTACGTGCGAGTCAGGTTTGAATCTGTAGGTCGATGGGTTGTGTTTTTGAAGAGCTCGAGTTGTCAGCAATGGGGCTGTGGGGCTTTGACGGGGTGAGGTGAAGTAAACGGTTACTTCACGGGCGGACGAATGTACTGAGATCGATGCAGATGTACATAAAGTTTGTGCAGAAAGATGTATTTTTAGAACGTGCGATCAGGTGGGTGAATGAGAACATGGGAAGGCCGCGTTAAACATCGAACAAATTATATTTAACGCGGCCACTTGAATGCCAAACTCCGATTTTATTATATATTTTTTGTTTTATTTAAACGGGGACTTGAAATCATTGAGGTATTTTGATCATGCAAAAACAACTTTTTCCTGTTTAACATTTTATAAATGTTTTGACATTTCAGCTGTGAAAAAGAAATTAGCATCTTGTCTTTGGTTTGGTGCACATTTCTAAATGCTGTAATATATTTTCCCCCCATGTCTCACACACACACACACACACACACACACATAGTTTTAACAGAACCTGATGGACTAGAAATCTAGAAATGCTCCGTTAAATTGACATTGTGTAAAGTTGTAGTTTTCTTTCTGTTATCACAGTAAAATCCCAGCGAGCTATGACTCTTTAAATTGTAAATGCTACTATGCAAAACCAGGCGTGGAGTGAAGAGTGTGACGTGTTCGACCACGTCGAGTTCCTCTTTTCTGGTTTACTTTCCTCGATTCCCACTCGTAGAGAATGACGGATCACTTCTGGAGCGAAGTGAGTAGAACAACAGCAGCAGCTTGCACACACGGAGGCCTCGTCAGGGATTTAAAGCATTTGTATGTGGAGAATATAAGTCAAATACTGACTTTCTAGAGGTACTTTCACTGTCTGTCCAGCAGTACGGGATGAGAAGTCTTATTGTCCATCAATAAGTGATTTTAACGATTGGACAAATATGTGAACTTTTTCTTTTTGTATTTTTTTCTTTTCTTTTTTTCTGAGCGTCACTCACTAGAACTTAATATGTGATTGTTCATGAAGACTCAAACTAGTGATCAGATGATAAATGAAATAACAAGAGTGGAAATTAATATGATTTTTGTACAGAAGAAATTAAAAGTTTTACTCAAAGGTTTCGCTGAGTTGGTTTGTTCACATACAGACAGAACACATCTGCATTTCACCCTCCTTTTATTTGTCTTTTATACACTATTTGACAACAGGTATGACATTCTTATTTTTACATTTAATAAATAGTAACGATTGCTGTGCTTCAATTGCTGAGCATTTACATTTCAACAACATAATTCCGACTATACAGGACAACCGGCTAGATTCTTGCACAAAGCAAATACTGGCAGATGTTCATGAGAGCAGACGGCGGTTTTATTCGTCCTCGTCCCTGGAAAGAAAGAGTGCATCTTTGATGTGTCACCTGAACAACGGTAAATAAAGCTGAAATAAAACGACAACCTTAAAGGGTCGGCGTTCTCACCTGACCATCTCCTTGAACTTGTTCAGGGCCTCCTGGGCCACGTACTGGATGAAGGACGGCTCCCGCGGCTCCAGCTCCCCAGGAACGGAGAGGAGGAGTGGGGGAGAGTTCAGGATGTTCACCTCCACTTGGATCTCAGACGCGTTCTGTCCGTCGCGGCTCTTTGGCGCCACCTGGAGAGCGGAAGAGGTCTCCTGTTACACCACCCTCCATCCAAACCTTCCCGGTCTTTATTTTGTTTTTATGAATTTCCCCACGTTTTTAGTATTCTTAAACAATGGACCACATCTAAACAACGCCTCTCACCGCGGTGATGAGGAAGACCTTTCCTGGGGCGGTGCTGTCGACCCCCGCCCGGGCCACCCAGCCAAATTGAGCCGCCATGTTGCTGAGCCAGTCGACGGATTCATCGGTGTGCCGCTGGACGATGGACAAGATCTCCTCGTACTGCTCTTTGGACACATCCAGCACCTGGGAGACCTCAGCCAGCTCCACGTGCAGCTCCTCAACACTGGGGCACTCTGGAGGTGGGGGGGGTCAGAAGAGCTGCTGAGGTAAAACATGGCTGGGGTGGGGGATTGGTGGGTGGGCGGGTATGTGCTTCACCTGTGAGCAGAGGTCCCTGGCAGGCCTCACACTGGCTCTGGAGCTGCCAACACTCTGAGGTCTGCTTGCGAAGGTCTCTGCACAACTTCCTGTTCTGCAGGAAGCGCGTGAAGGTTTCCATCCCTGCACCAAAGGGAAAGGTAGAGGTGAGTTTTTAATTGATCTGCACCGTGTGAAGATGTCATATCTATTCGAAAAGACGAAGTACCGAACAAAAGCAGCGCTCTAAACTGGGTGTCTTTGAAATGAGTCAAAACGGACAAATCAAAGGCAGAAACCGGAGTCAAGAAAGACCAAAACTAAAAGAGGGGACGTCCTTCGTGGAGGGAGACATTTTTAAACGGCCTCAACTCGCTGCTGCTCCCCCCGCTACCTCTCTTCTTCTTGTCCTCCACGGCCGCGTGGACGTCGTCAAGCGCCTGGGTCACGACGGCCCCGAACTCCTCCACCACGCTCTTGCCGAAGTCAAAGAAGGAGTCCAGCACCTCCTCCAGGCCCACGCCCTGCAGGAAGCCGGAGTCCCGGCCGGCGTCGTAGAGCTCGGCGGCGGCGGCGGGCTCCTCCGTCGGGGCGACGCTGCCGTTCAGGAAGGCGTCCCGGAGGACTCCGTCCAGCCTGCCGCTCATCCCGGAGACCAGGGCCGCGCTGCGGCTCACCAGCGCGCCGACCCGGCCGGTCAGGCGCCTGAAGGAGTCCTCGATGCGGTCGACCTCGGGGTCGGGCTCGGCGGTCCCCTGATTCACCATGATGTCCCCGGAGTCCTCGCGGGGCTCCCGGGGGCCGAAGCGCCTGGAGACTCTGCGGAAGAAGCTGTCCACCTGCACAGTGTGAGAAGCATGTGGGAGGTCAATGCATTGCCGTGTGGCGCTGCGGTGGAGGTGAAGGACGCGGTCTGGGTGCAGTCGCCGCTCGCGGAGTCGGAGGGGGAGTCGGGAAGCCGTGGTTTTCATACCTTGGCCTTGAAAAGGCCGAATCCTCTGCGGCAGGTGGAGGTGTAGAAGGTCTTACAGGCATCCTCCAGACAAGGTCTGCACGCCGCCCACTCGGACTGCAGGGAGTCCCTGCACTGCTCCTCCGCCTCCTCCAGCTTCTCCGTCACCTCCTGAGCCAGTTGGTGGGCCCCCTGGTGCCACAAAGGGAAGACGTTCTTTTCTCGGCCTCTGTTCGCCTTTCATTCGTATTAAGGAAAGTTTGCCGTCGGTCTTGCCTTCTTCTTGTCAATGCTGTTTCGGAGGGACTTCATGAGGTGTTGGTGCTTCTGCTCGTTCCTCCACATCACCTCCCTCATCTGCTTCACGCCGTAGAGAGCTCTCCTCACTTCCTCGTCCACCAGTTTCTCCCCATTCAGGGACAACTCTGAGAGACGCGGGGAAGAAAAAAAGTTTTAATAAACACGCATCGACTAGTGGAATTGACGCGGCACAATGAGCAAAGGCCGCCCTTAGATTCCTCCGCGCCGACTCACGTTTTAAGGTGTCCTCTGAGATGCCGGTGGCTTGGTCCTCTGGGGCGGAGCGGAGGACCCCCAGGGTCGCCACTAGAACAAGCCAACCGAGCAGCAGCCTCATCTTTGAGCTGTAGAAGGTTAAAACGAACCGGAAAGGCAAGTGGTGAACATGTCGTGTACACTGATGGAGGAAACGAGGGGGGGGGGTGCGTGTGATTAAACATCTGCACGGGACGTGGTCGTAAGTATAGATCTGCCACCTGGTGGTGCTGCACATCTGTCTAGACGTTATAAACGGTCAGAGAAGGACTTCATTTCAGCTGGTCCGACTGTAAAGATGTGTCTCAATGGTACTTTGAAAAACTGTAAAATTGTCAACATTTCATCTCAACTTTGAATCTTCTTCGGTGTAATATTTTTTTGTACTTAGCCAGATTGTTTGTATAATTTGCTGCAACTTTTGGACTCCATAAATACAGCTTTGTTCTTGTTTTCCTTATTTGTAACCATGGTAGCTCTGTCACAGGCGCCATCGAGCATCATATCAAGTTCGTAACCAGTAAATGAGGTAAACTCACCTTCCCCCGTTAGGCCACAGAGGAGTTACAGAGATCCAGGAGGGATTTACAGTAAATGAGGATGTACTCTCTTATGTCATTACGGGTTTAAGCTGCTCTTTCAATCCGCTCTATTGTGTCCTGCTGTAAACAAGCTGTTGTTCCTAACGGCCACTAACGCGAGGTCATGCAACAAGTATAATTGTGAATAATAAATACAGGTAAAGAGACACATTCGAGAGCCTGATGTTGCAGTAACCTTCAGAATAAAAGCATTTAAAGTAGTGAGAAACACGAGGAGCATGTCAGCTTTTAAGAACACAAACTCATCAAACATTCATGGTAACATTCCTAAAAAACAACACGATTCTAATAAAACAATCAAGTTAAATACAAACTACGCGGTTCACGCTGAAGAACCGACAGAGAGGCCCGCGGGGACCATCGCGGCAGAGGAACTCACCAGCAGACGACTGGAGCAGATCCTCCACTGGAAGGAATAAACACGGAGCTCGGGAAGTTTTGGTCCAACTGACCCGATCTATTTGTGCTCGTTCAACTGCAGCTTCATCCGATTACTGTCCTTGATGTGTGTTAATCCCGCATTCAACGCCCCGTCTCAGCAGTCTGTGCAGCATGACAGGATGCTTACTCACGGCAGTCGTGTTGACACTGAGGAAAATGTGTTTCTTTTGCATCAATTTACAGTGTTGCTGGCGTTTGATTGATTGATGAATCGCTGTTGGGTTGTCACAGAGAATCTGCTTTAAGAAAAGATCACGTGTGGCACCAGAGCCTTGTGTTGACCTCGTGAGAGGCTGGGCCATTGTTTCTGAGCTGAGGGGAACCTTCACCACCAGCTACTCTTAGGTGTTCCACCAAGGCGAGAATCCAGAGTGTCTCTTTGATGAAGGGAATCACTTCTCCTCTGCCCCCCCCCCCGTCCCCGTCCCCCGTCCCCGTCCATTTCACTGGTGCCCCGTCTCCCCCTGAAACGTGCCCTCTGTGCGGCGTGTGACCCAGATAACAGGGTCCTCAGCTCAGGATGATAATGGAAACCAGCCAGCGCCGCGGCTCGGCCTGACACCTTTAACACCTGGTTCCTTTAACACGGCAGGGGGGGGGACCCTCCTCCCATGTGCACCCCCCCGCTCAGTGGGCTCAAACACAAAACAGTTGGCAAAAGACGAAGGGCCGAAGCTTGGTGCACGCAACCGGAGAGAACGTAAATCACCAAAGAAGTGTTTCACGCTGGTTGAACTTTAGTAATTGATTTTGGGGGAAGGATGGAAACTTTTGTTGTTGTTCTGATGTTGCACTGCAGGAAACTTCAGGGTGCAGCAGCAGGTCCGTATAACCGGCTCACGATGGGGTCCCGGGTCAGGTTTTGTGTTGATGATCAAAGCGTCCTGTCCTGGACAGAAGAGATAAACAGGTGCAGAGACCTGAAGGAACGGACAAAACATTTAACGCCTGAGAGCCGCGTTGGGTTTTGTAAACTCGTTCAACAGCAAAGCTCAAAGGAAAACGTGGAGCAACTTCCTCAGGCTCAAATGAAATAATGAGTTAGGCATGGAAACTCCAATTAAAAATAATAACAGTTATCGCATGAGGGATATTTGGCCTTTCAGTCGACTTCATGCTTAACAAATAGCAGATGTGTGGAATAACTTCACTTTGGATTTTGTGTAATTAACTTCTACACAAAGTGATCACTCGGGTCACCTGCTATAATTATGATGTTATAATTGTAACCATTGGTACAATTAAAACGATTGTGCTTGTTGTTCATTTAATTCAGCTCATTTTCAGTAACGTGTGTATTGATGCTGATTACGCTTCACCACGAGTACGTGACTCAATCGTCGAGTCGCCCTTTGCAAAACCTCAGCGAGATTGTGAATTGATCTTATTGTTCTAAACAACGGCAACTTTCCGTACAAACTAAATCCATGTAAGTTGGATTTAGTTTATACGGAAAGTTGCTGTTGTTTACAACAATAAGATCAGACTCTTATTTCTATGGTTTTAGTCTTCAGTTTGATTTGGGAGAAAGTTGCTTCTGCTTGTATTTGTGGATTGTTTTAGTCCATATAACAGGAATTTTTCAAATGTACGCATTTGTCCACTTAAAGAACATCTTTTTCCTCAAATCAATATCCAAATTGTGGCAATCAAAATTAACTGTATTGATAAAACAGTGACTTTCAGAAATATCAGCGCTCAATAGGGCTGCTTTCATTTTAACATCTGCAGCCCCAGATGTTGCACAAGTGCACGCTGTGTTCCAACTCCAAACACTGTCACGCACGCACACATCCACACGCGCACGGCGGTGCAGAAGGTGCCTGCAGATGAGGGACCACGTGGTTTCTTGGAGCACCACCGCTTCCTCTCACGGTTCGGATTCCTTCACTTTTGGAGTTTCTCCGGTAACTGCTGCGGGTACCAGCGGCGCGCTGAGCCGGAATAGACAACCCCCCCGCGCCCCCGCGCCCCCGTCCCACACCTCAGCATCACTCCAGACTGCCAGAGAAATAACCAGATCGTTTTCCATCTGCCTCTTCGTGAGTCCGTTCCTCGGTTCCCCGGTGCTCCAGGACTCGCGGATGGAGCTCTGAGTTCTTATTTCCCTCCACTCCCGACACAACTGGATATTTGGATACTCGCAGATCCAAGGTGCTGCGCTTTGGGTTTTGTTTTTTTTTGGGGACAAATGCTATTGGATGTGACTTCAAAACATCTCAACGGCGGAGTCGTGTGAGGCCACGATGAAAGGTAGGCTCAGAGACACGGCGTCATGGAGCATCACTGGGGCTGTTTTCTGCTCGCGTAAAGTTCCTGTCGCACTTTTGTTTCTCACTTTTCCGCCTCCTTCTCTCGGCCTGAGAAGTGAGGAATGCGCGAGCTCCATCTCTCGTCCAACATCTGGTCTCCATTAGGGGACTCTGCTGGGGATTGTTTGGGCCAACCGGACCTTTAGTTCTAGTGCGTTGGTGTATTTTAACGTATTACTGGATACAACATAGCCACACGTGCGCTGAGTCGTGGTTTCCACTGGCAACCGTTTAAATAAAGGTTTGTTTTATCTTCGCCAGATGTGATTCTCACGTGCCACCCTGACGTTTCGGATCGTGCTAAATGAAAATCTGTCGTTCTCACTCTTTCACAAAGGCTGTCGGTCTGCCAACAAGAGCCCGTCCGGTGCGCTGCGTGACTCCTGCCACCTGGTGGCCACATTGAGAACAACGAGTCTCTTCATCTCCCAGTAAACCTTTAATGTGACTTTAATGTGACTTTCTGCTGCTAATGTACAGTGAAGGGCGCAATCTTATTATAGGTTTGGAACTTTTCTTTTGGGTACTTTGGTTAATTTATTCTTTTTAGGGGGTATTTCGTAGGACCATCATGCACCTTCAGGTGTACTTTCGTCCTTTTGAACCGAACTTTTTTTTTGCTTGATGTCAGATACACTACTAACAGAAGAACCCTGAGACAGTATTCCAATGTAGCAGCAGGTATTTACTGAATGAATTACTTTGATTGAAATATAGTAATCCAACTGCTGTTTAACCAGCAGTAATTCGTGATTAAATGCTTGTTCACTTTTCAACAATATCAGGAATCAGGAAACATTTATTAGCCAAAATATGTCAAACATACAAGGAATTTGTCTTGGCGGTTAGTGCGCGACAGTAGACAGACAAGACAACAGTGCACAAGTAATAAAATAAAGTGGAATGAAATGCTAATGCAATGGGTTAGTAGAATAAGGCTAAGGCTATGGGTTAGTATAAAACAAGGGAATAAAGTTAAAAATTTTTAAATATTAAGAAGTTAAAAAGAAAAATATTAAGCATAAAGTGCACTAACAAACAAGTAACAGACAAGAGACAAAGTGACAAGAGACAAAGTGATGAATTGCAGTTAAAGTGGCGTGTGCAGTATGAGGGGGAGTGACCGGTGGAGTGTTATAGTCAGGCAGTGGGGGACCGGGCTCTGTTGATGAGCCCGACTGCCGACGGGAAGAAACTGTTCGTGTGGCGGGAGGTCTTAGTCCTGATGGACCTCAGCCTCCTGCCAGATGGAAGGGGCACAAACAGTTTTCATTTTAGCTCGCTTCAGAGACCTGGAAGCGAACAAGTCCTGCAGAGCGGATGACCCGCTGCAGCCGGCCCTTGTCCTTGGCTGTGGCTGCAGCGTACCAGATGGTGATGGAGGAGCAGAGGATGGACTCGATGATGGCCGTGTAGAAGTGGACCATCATCGTCTTTGGCAGGTTGAGTTTCTTCAGCTGCCTCAGGATATTCACCATATCACCCCCCGCTGTTATCCACTGGGGACATTGCGCTATCCCTCTTAAGATTTATGGCCCCACCGCAATATTGCAGCCAAAAAACACAGAGTTTGACTCTTTAACTATTGACAAATCCACTTTATTTTCAAACCTTAAGGCCAAAGCGATTATCTCCATTTCCCAGAATAGCTGCTGGAACAGCAAGCATACTTACGGGAACATCCCTGTTGTAATGAGCCACAGTCATATTGCTGGAAAGGAGTGTTCAGGTTGCTGGGAAAGACAAATTCATCAAGATGTGGTTTCAGATTATCTACACTCCTTATTTGCCACATCGTACTGCTTTTGGCATTTTGGAACCGCTGAATAGATTTTTATTTCCGAAGAAAGATTTTTTTTTTTTTCCCGGCCACGGATGATGAGGGGGAGGAAAGGCCTGGATGTCGCCAGGTACTTTCCCCAAAGACGTAACCGCTGCTTGAAAGCGTGGGACGGTTAAGGCCCGTCGGGTCATCGCAGTAATCCCACCAAGTAAAGAGAAAAGACAGAATCAGCTTCATAGGCAATAAATGCACGTGTCTCCAAGGAATTTACCTAGAAATATATACACACCCAAAAGTATATATATATATATATATATATATATATATATATATATATATATATATATATACGAACATGACTCTGGAAATGAGCGAGATGGAGACGGCTCTCTCCTTGCTTTGCTGACATAGAGGGTTTGGCCTGTGATACATATACATGCATGTGAGTGTGCCCCAATGCAATGCGGTTACAAGATTGCTGCCCAAACTCTGGTCCCCCCTCTGGTTCCCCCTCTGGTAAACACCGTTAGCTCTGTTGAGAGGCAATCAAAAGGCTCTCAATCTCACATCCGTCACCTTTCACATTAAGCACCGCACAAAGAACGGCTTCAGTGGACTTTACAATCAGACGGAGGGGTGAAAAAATGCGTATTCAAAAAGGATAAAAGGATTGAAATTGATTGCGTCACTTCATCCTTGACCTTGGAATCTGTATTTGGAGAGAAAATATTCCATTTTCCACTTAGCAGCTTTTACCGGAGCTTCCAAGAGCATTTCACTCTCGTCTTCAGCGCTCTGAATAACAGTTTTTGTGTCGATATGAAAGCCCTTCGCTGCTGGCGGCCTCTCGGTCTGGAGGCTTTGCTCGGGGTGACTGGAGGTGAGGGGCGTAGACGAAAGGGTCACACGAGACGGCGTGTCCTCCTCCACGCCGGGGGTCACATGTCAGACGTGGGAGACACCGCATACGGCAGAGCGAACGTCGTGCTGCTTGGAGCTTTTACTCTCTCCGTGTACACAGGACGTACCAATAGCTTCTCCGGAGGGACGAAAAAGAAGACAAAGTGCTTAGCCAGTCATATACACATGTGGGCAGCATGAACACAAATATCCAAATCAAAGAAAAACAAGCCACGTTCACAAGCAAATATTGACTTGAAGTAGACCTGCAAGTTTAAACTATTCACAGTTGACGTGGTGATGTGAAAGCATGACGCAGTTTCCCAGTTTACGCTGCTTTTATTGTTTGGATGTGTTGTGCGTGTGTAGCTCATCATATCCCGGATTAAATTAATTCCTTTTTTTCCGGTCTTCTCCCTCCAGACGATTTTGCCGATGAGGAGGAGGTGCAGTCCTTTGGTTATAAGAGGTTCGGTGAGTATCATGTCAACCCCCCAAGTGATTGCATGAAAAGTGTTTGGCTTGGCTGTAATATTTTACGAGGTCAAAAAGAAGGACACACCTCATTACCCAGACACAATCTTATTTTTGGCTGCCGCCGTTGTTTTTTTAGTTCACCGTTGCGGACGGAAAGGGAAACAACAGCATCCCGGGTGTTCCTGGCCGGTATCCTGACTTTGCAACTTTACCGGCATCCCAGTGCGCTCTTGTTCACTCAGCACAAAACTACACTTAACTTGATCTAAAACCAGCAAGAACTATGTCTCTGAATGGGTCACGCCGATTATTTTTTTTCTCCTAATCTCGCTCTCTCGTCAGGCAACACAGATTATAACCACTGACCAGATGTTGGCACCTTCCAGCTGTGTGGAGCACGTTCGAAAATGTCAAATCGACAAATTCTTTGAGTTCCAGCGGATTTCGTGACTCAAGCCACAGTGATTTACACCAGGAGAGGTTAACCAAGTATGCAAAACTAGCACTGAGATATTAGACTGTTACACTTCAGCATCGGTAGTCAGAATGTGTCATCTGGTGCTTTGTGGCCTTTGTGTGCGACTGAGTCCGCCGGCGGAATTCACTTGCTGCCACACACGGTCACTGTAATTCGATGCTTTCCTCTCCATGATATCGCAGATTGTGAAGAGCAATAATTCCACAGCGCTGTATTTGTGTCTCTTGGTAACTTTCACCTGCTGCCGCCCCACAACAGACATCAGGTTTCAACACTTGTGAGGCGACTCGGTCACAGAGGTCGCTCTGATTTAAGAGCCGTTTCGCAGCACGTGCTTCATCTGGACGCTCAGCAGTTGCATGTGAGGAAGCGTGTGCGCAGTAGGAGTCCAGCTTGTGTGTCAACGCGATGAATTTAGACAGGATACGCGTGTTTATTTAACTTTCTTTACAAGAAGGGAAGAATTTTCTGTTTCTAAAACATTTTAAAAAAAAATCTGTGTGATTCAGAATGACTGAGCGCATATTCTTTCATGACATCTGCTCTTTCTACTTTCCCTACTTGACCTCTGGCTTGTAAGCAGATGTACGGGAGCAAAGGTTAAAGGAACACTCCACCAAAAATGCAGCTGCATTTCATCAAAAACTCACTGCTTCAAACGTCAGCATCACCACAAAGAATCACAGGAATGTTCCAATTAACACAACAACAACAACATTCTGTAGCTGGCGAACAATCGGGTTACTCCTCGTGTTCTGAAGCGTCTGCATCAGTCGTTTCTCCGCTCATGTATTCATGGGGTTTCTTTTAAAAGCAAAAGTTTGACATTTTTAGGAATTATGCTTCTTGGCGTGGACGAGAAAATGGATCCCACTCACATGTCTGTGTGTGACTATGGAGCTACAGCTGGGAGGCTTATGCTTAGCATAAGCTAAGCTAGGCAATTAGCCGTATCCCCTCTGCTTCCGGTCTCAATGCTAAGCGGAGCTAATTACCTTCTTGCTCCAAATTCAGACTTGAGAGGGATAATCGATGTTTTAATCTCGCTTTTAGCAATTGGGGCAAAAACAAAACACTATGTTCCATATTCGGCTTCCACACGCACTTGGCAGAGTAAAATATGTTGTGTGCTTCTCGCGTGTCCTCAGCAAGGAGCGGAATAAAGTCCTTGACTCATTTTGACATCTGCTTTCCACAAGAGGTCGATTATCCCACCGAGAGAAGGTCCAAACCTGAGAAGTAAGCTGAGCCGCTTCCTGTATCCACACTGGAAGTTTATCCAGTCCAAACATGTGCACCCTGAGAGGGAGACGGCATCGTGGGCCTTCGAGGGTCCGTGTCTGGGCTGCGCTGTGTCAGCAACGTGTCGAGGAAAGAGGGGGATGGAAAAAGAGAAAAAAAAATACACCCTCCAGTTGAGATGATTCAACAAAATGATGATTTATCCTAATATTTTACAGCTTTCTTTATCTTAGCACTCGTTTGGGCTCAGTAGTTCCTTCTGCCGTCTTTAACGTGCTTTATTTCTTTCTAATTGAAGGGGTAACTAATTGTAAACAGTTATTTTCGGCCCAAGAGTCGCATTCCTTGCTCAACTTATTTTTGGGAGCACAAAACAGCGAGTGGTTTTAATTTACGGGGACTTTATTACCAGAAAAGAATGTTTGGGAAGTTCCTGCCCGTTACTTACAGACCCCTCCGGGGGAAGCATGGATGCAGTTTGTGCTCTGTCGCCCTAATGAAAGATTACCCGCTCATGTTTTCAATAAACGGAGAGAACATTAGAGGGTTACGGAGGAGGAGAAGACAACGGGGTAAAGAGGGGGCAGATAAAGCGACCTGCAGGTCTGCAGGAGCCGGCCCCCCGACTGGTCCAAAGGGTGGTGGGTCAGTCCTGGATTGACCAATGACAGGCAGGCGGGGGAATGCATCCCAGGCGCCACACAAATCACCTCGTCCCGTCCGGGGTTCAGCGTGGAGCTCGCCGCGAGGAAGAGGAGGGGGGGGTTGTATGTCAGCTGCAGGTCAGCCAAAAAAAGAAAAATATTCTAGATAGAAAGAGGCACTAACTTTCGTGTTGAGGTGTTTTTTAGAGAGCTGTTACAGAGCAGAATAGCAGGGGCTTTTTTTCCGTCTCAGTATCCTTACAAATGAATCCTGGTTTGGTTCAGAATTTCCAGGCTGTTCTCATACAGCTTTGGTAGATTGAATGCATGTAAACAAGCTTTGAAAAACAAAGAATAACTCTTGGTGAGATATCATACAAATTGTTCTGTGCAGAAAAGGTTGGATTGTCCGAGCGGCGGTTTCAGAGTTGTAGACACTGAACACACACCGAGAAAAAGTTCACACAATTCAAAAATACAAAAAGTGCGGTTACATTTTCCGGAAGCAGCGGCTGTAGTGTGATATTTTGTATGGGATGTCCCGACACACTTTCACACGACAGCATTAACTCCTGCTCCCATTTGTCATCAAGCTCGGCGTTCCGGATGACCTCCGGCTGCCTTGACTCCCACCTTCTCTTTAAAGCGGGCGCGTGTTAAACACGCACTGGACGGACGTCGCTGTTCAGCTGAGCTTTCGTCCGTCTTGTACGAAGCCTCAGTTGTTTTGACCGAAGTCGGCCTAAACCACCTCATCAAACCTCTTCTTGAGATACGCTAAGTATCGGAGAGCTGCTGAAGAAGTTCTGCACGTGGTGCAGCTTGAGTTTTTCCCTTGATGGAGTTCTTCTGGGCGCCGACGTCAACCTCGCTGCTTCTTCCCTTTGAACAACAGCAGAAAGCCAGAATGAGGAACGTGTATTTGTCCTTGTGCTGTGAGTCAGTGCGGCTCTCCGTCGGACGCTCGCTGTGTTTTTCTTGTTTACACGTCAGTGCTTTAGTACGCTTCTTTTTTTTTTTGTTCTTTCCGTCGACGCAAGTGTTTCACATGTGTCTCAAGTCAGGCGTGTGTTTGTGTTTTCATATCTGTTCATCTGCTGCGGAGGAAAAATATCAGAACCGCCTGACTGGATGTCGCCAGTTGATTGCAGGTTTTGTCACTCCAGTTGAATGGAGGTCAAATGAAACTGTATCCGTGGGGCTTAAAGCATTACACAAGTATTATTATTACAACAGTAACGTGCTTTTACTTTTTATTTTCTTAACAAGCAGGATGTTTGAATCGTTACCTGTCAGCACATCTGGGGAAACCAATGGGGATAATGTTCCTGAAATGGGATGCTGCTGGTGCATTTAGGGTTGGCTTGATTTTGATCTAGTTTTGGTGACAATAATAAAGTGGTTGCCGATAGGCCGCAGTTAAAGATGCTATTTCTCTGCATTGATTCTTCAATACACTACACATGGCTTTTAAGCAACCCAGAGCCAGCTCCATCCCCGTTTAACTCTTAATAAATCCGACACCAGCATGTTTTAACCAACAAGAGGCTGTATGATAAATATATATAACCTGATTCTTTTATTGAGGGGAAGCACGAACATACAACATAAAGGGACCACATGACGCTCGACGTGCTCGCGTGTTGCATGCTGGAGAGAAAAGCAGCTGCTTTCGTGGATCTTCTCCTTTCGATGATGCATCATCACCTCTTTCAACACAGACCGCGCGCTGCAGCTACGCCGGCCCGAGCTGGAAGTCAAACCACCTTCTCCGTGGTCGGCGTATCACATACCGAAAAAAAAGTAAAGCCAGACTCGGTCCTCAAGAGTGCGGTTTCCTTGGCTCTCCTGGGACGATGATGGAGCCGGAGAGCGGTGTGTGGCTGTGGGACGGAGCGCGGCACGGATCATCAGGCACGCCGATCATTGTTGCTGATTCAGTATCTTAAGTGCCTCCTCGGCGAGGCCACCCGGCGGGTGTGACCGCACCAAATAAAAAAGGCCGCGCAGATGGTCTGTTAGCTCCAGCGGCCTCAGCAGCGGCTTGGCGTGGACGTGTCGTGGCATATTCTCAGCCGTGACAAAATGTGCCGCAGTTTATCCGTGTTCATGTTATTGTGGTGAGGTGGAGATTAGGAGGCGTCTGGCTCTTTTTGATCAATCAACCGATGTTAAACGTCTTCCAAGTCACAGATGGTCCTCTGTGATCATAAATAAGATCTTTTTAGACGAACGTGGTTGCAATTATAGATTTGTTTGATATTGGTCACACTTACAGAATCCAGAGTGCACAAACAAAGTGCAACACATTTTCCTGGCAGTGGGAAAAGATTCGTTTTTGAGATATTATGAGATCAAACTTTTACTTCACTACAGCCTCTCGAGCACTTTTCCCTAAATGATTTAAACCAGTGACAGATTGTTTTATTCAATGCGGGTTTGTTCATAATAGTGGCCAGTGCATTCCCCATATGGGTCGTCCAATTATAATCCTATTTCACGTGTTGGCAGACTGCATAATCGCCTTGTCTCTGGAACCAAATATTAGGTACAGCTCACATTGGATAAGTATTTGTTTTAGGATAGATTTGGTCCTTCAGCCAAAGCTGATCAGCCCTTGATTGACATTAAGC